TTTTTTTTCCCAGAAGATGCATACAAAATGTTGCATACACTTTCTGTGTTGCATGGAGTGACCCCCTTGAAACTAACTTATGAATTCCATGATAAGACCCACACTATATATAGTTGGAGGTGAGAGACCTACTATTGGGCTCATAATGGGCTAAAAGCCTACTCTCCAGAAAACCCTGGAAAATCTGTTCTTAGAACATTACCTGGCAAGAAATCAAAATCATGTCATCATCCTCAGATTTCTTCAGTCCCTCAGACTTAGTCTGATTGAGTTTGTTGGTCTTGGATGCCCAAGGGACACGACTGCTTCGGAGCTTAGACAGGTTCGTTTCCATGAGGCGCCTCTGCAGAATGTTATGAGGTTGCTTGAGGGATAGAAAGCAGAAGTTCCTTAAGGACAGGTCATTTCTTCCTTCTCCCGCTGTACCCCAGATGCCACCAAAATAATGAAGGAGCCTCAAATTAATGAGCTCTACCCTTGCTTCTTATTTATTCTTCTTACAAACAGGGATTTCACTGGTATTGTCAGAGCAGGTACTATAAACCAATTTGCAGTAGGCCACCCTGAAAACATGAAAAAGCAAGGTAGGACACTGGGAAATATGGATAGGGCCAATGAATATTCTATGGCTAAAGAAAACTAAAGGACCCTGTGATTTGGACTACCTGGGCCTGCTGCCTTCCCTCCCCTTACAAGGGTATTTCAGGAGAGAAGTTGCCTTAGTCTACATGGAATAGGTGTATCTTCCAGGCGACTTAAAGAAGGAGCAGCTTATTTTCAAAAGCTAAAGAAACCTACCTAGCACTGATTGTCAGAAGCTCTGCCTATTTCTATTTCAAGTCTCCCTTAGTCTTATCTTTTGGACCTATTCGTTATATGCCTTAGTGGCCTGAGGGCTGAGTCACCACCCATGGGTGGATGCAGTGGGAAGACAGGAATTCATACCTGCTGAAACACTTTGGAATGTGGCAGAACCCACAAGAATCATCCTTATTGAAATCCTCTGGATCTCAAGGAACATAAGACAATTGCTGCCATAGTCTTATCATCCATTCCCCTCTCTGCGATGGGCCAAAAAGTGGGAGTGTAAAAGGTGTAGAGACTGACTAAGAAGCAGGGGACTTAATTTGATCTTATGTCTGTGCCAGGACACCTAATGTGAGGAAACAGAATGAGGAATGTGAATTTGAACTTGCCCTTTGATTGAGCTTAGGAAAGTTTCTAGGGCGAATATATCCATGCTCTACTGTTTCTACCCAAAGTGACCTCCAGAAAGTATAAGCTATCTCTTGATAAGTCATTTGACCTGAGAAATTTCTATACACAAGCATCTCATTCCCAGTTTACAATAACATTCAAAATCCTTGAAAATACAGACTCTAAGCCCAAGTTTCTATGTAACACATACCAGATGGCACTTCAATTCTAGGGGGAAGGGAGTCACTCTTAGAAGCCCATAACCTAGAACCTTCCCAGGGAAGGGAGTAGAACTGGAAGTCTTCATTATCCACTATCTTACAGATTTCTGAGGAAGAATGGAGTTAGAGCCGTGACTCACTATAACCCTAGTGAGGTGAAGAAATGTATTCCCAAAATACACTGATTCTTGGCAAAACAGATTCTAAATTAGTATCCTTGAGAAAAGGAGAGAAAGAGGTACTTAAAAGAAAATGAGAGTTTCTTAACTTGATAAGGAGTTAGAGGAAGTGCTAACTCTGACAAATTTCCTGATGTGACACTGGAAGAAACTTTCCTCCTCAAAAGAAACAGAAATTCTTCATCCTTATCTCTCTCACTAATAAGCCTGCATTCCTAGCTCAAGTCACACTAAAGCAGTATGTTTGTTTCTGCCAAGACCATGCTTAGCAAGACCAACTCAGATAAGTTGAATTTGTAGAAGTGAAGACTGGAAGGGGCTTCTAAGGCCATCTAATCAAAGCCCTCCTCACTGAAAGTTTGGGGCTTTCCTTTTACATGGGTTCTGCTGAACACCACTTTTTCTGGTTACTCTTAATCTTGCAGAAGAGTCTAATCACCACTGGATAGATGAGGCAAATGAGGAAAGTTTTAAAATCATTTTCCTTCAAGTCATTTCTATTCTGAATTCTCTTCCCTTCCTACTGGATCCTTCCTCCACAGGCTATAAAATATACTCAAAGTTCTCTTCTCATATATTAAGGAGAAAATCTCAGACCCTGCCTCCTCAACTCCACATCCTCCTCTAATCACATCCTTGTCTTGAATGGCCTTTTCTTAAAAACAAAACAAAACAAAACAAAATCACCATGTCTATTTCCTGATATATTTCCAAATATACCATTTTGCTTGACTGCTCTAGGGCATTTGGCCTTGCTGACTACAGTCAGCCCTCCATATCCATGGGTTTCACATCTGCAGATTCAACCAAATGCATATTGAAAATATTCAGGAAAAAAATCCCAGAAAGTTCCCAAAGTTAAAACTTGAATTTGCTACACACCAAGAAGTACACTGAATCCAACAAATGAAGTGATATATAGGCATATCTTGCTGTAGCCTGTATGCAAATACTACCCCATTTTATATAGGGACTGGAGCATCCTTGAATTTTAGTATGGGAGAAGGAAGTGGGCCCTGGAACCAATCCCCCGTAGATACTGAAGGATGGCTGTATTCCTTTATTTGTTCTTTTCCTTAGTAACCAAAAAAGGTTCAAAGATAATACGTGCTCAATATAAAATGTTCACATATCACTAAAGTGTATAAAATTAAAAGTAAAAGCCTTCCCAATCTCTCAACCCCTTCTCAGTTCCACTCCTTACAAATAATAACCTTTAAATGTATAAGTATATCCTTCTAAAAATTTTTAATATTGTTACAAACATATACAGAAATAGGATATTATAATATTGTTCTAAAATTTCTATTTTTGTTTAACATGTGAAAGGCATTTTTCTGTCAGTACATATAACTTTCTTCATTCATTTTCATAATTGAAAGTACTTATAGTATAGTTTAGGAGTTGAAAATTCACAGCCAATGAACGTCATTTTATTATGCCTACATGTTTTAAATGACAATGTAACTACACACTTACTTCTGCTCCCAACCAAAATTTCACTAAAATGAGTCAAAGAATAAGAAAGGCATAAACTGACAAGGACAAAGAGAACAGTAAAGGAAACAACAAAGAGAGAGAGGTTGACAAAATATGGGAATCTGAAAAGCAGATAGAAAAGTGGTAAGTGACCTAGACTAGAGAAAGCTAAGTGCTTCATACCATTCTACTTCACAGAACGCTTGAGTGGTAGAGACTGCCAGTTGCTCATCAAAATCCATGTTCTCTTATTACTGTGCAGATACCTACATTATGTTTCTCAGCCTTCCTTGCAGTTAGGCATGGCCATATGACTGAGTTCTGGAAAACATAATATGAATAGAAGTGGCATACACCACTTCTAGACCTGGCTCAAAAAAATCGCCTCTGCACACTCCTCCATATTCTTTTTCTCTTCTAAATGGTTGGAATGGAGATGACCACTAGGATAACCCTGAAGGTCATATGTTGAAGACATAAAAGTCAGTGTCAGCCTGGGTGCCTAAATGACTACATGGGAGAGCTGTCTTGATGACCTTTCCATCAGTACTATTACCTAAGAGCGATTATATATTTTGCAGTCTAGCTGTAAAAGCATTTTTTCCTACTCAAACTAAAACCTTGAAAAGGCTGAGGAGTTAGAGGTATTAGAACCTGTACAGTTGGAGGGTACAATTAAGGATGGAAATAGACTAGTGTGAACCCTACATAAGACTACCACTTGACCCAGACAATTGGGAAGAATACCAAAATTTTATTTTGCTATACAAGTAAGTCAAAAGACTCTGGTTGATATTTTGGCTAGGCTTAGGAATTATGCACTGTCAGATTTCTAAAACAACTAAAGGCAGACTTCTGTCATCCCCCCAAATTTCTAGTCTGGTCCATTCTGTGGACCAAAAAATTCCATTAGTTTGATTTTGTCTGGGTTCAGTGCAGCAGGTAAAGGGACTGAGAAAGTAGCCTTAGAAGTTCTTGCTCAAATAATGATTCTGTGGCATCCTACAGTATAATCTATATCCTTTCACATCACTTTTCTTCCCATTCTACAGCCTGATTAGAAGAGATATTTAAGCAGACAGTGTGCCAAATTGAGGAGCTTCAAATATTCCTACCCAAGAAATAGCACTGCCTACAGAGGCCATTTCTTGCAGAAGCTCCTGATGATGATGGAGGCAGCACATTGAGCTTGCCTGGACTTTAGATGCCTAAACCCTGTTTAGGGTTTAGCAACCACATTTCAGAAAGAGTAGAGAACCCAGGACTGCTTAGGGTAGTAGTAATTGCCTCGTTGAGCTAAAGCATAAAGCAGGATTCATGTCAGAATAACTTGATAATTATGTCCAAAAGGCCACCAGAGTACCTGCAATACCTGAATAGCTAACTACTAGTGTGTATCTTGAAGGATATCAAGAAAGTAGAAGACAGTCCTAGGAAAGCCAGTATTTCAATAAACATAAAATGAACCACTTAAGTAAATTTACAAAGCAACAGTCAAGGAGTAGGAATGCAAGTAGTACAAACTATGTAACATAAAAGTGCTGAAGGGATTCTGAAAGAAAGAATTAGATAACGTTAATCAAGGAAGGCTTTTTGAAGAAGTAAAGGGTAGAGATTTGTTTGTTCATTGCTATGTCAAGAACTGGGGATATAGCTGTGCAAGATGATCAAGATCTCTGCCCTTGTAGAATTAACATTCTAGTGGGAGGAGTAAATAGTAAACAAATAAATAAGCAATTTTTTGATTTATTAATTTTACCATTATCTATTGATTTTCTATTATATGAGATAAGGGTTTAATTATTTTACTCCTCCCCATCATGTCCCTCTCCTATTAATATTCTGTAAATAATTGTTTTGGGTCAAATCAGTATTTACTGCTTACATTATTATGACTATGTTCATATTATTTAAAGCTGAGTCAAATAATGTATTATAATAATGTTTCCTTTCTCATACAAATATTTATTTTTCTCAAAATTAATAATTACCTAGATTTCTATTTATTTAATTTTCTATATACAATTTAAATCTCTTTCAAGTACTTAAAATTGTAGATGATCTAGCATGTCCATTTTTTTTTCTTGGAGACATCCTTCCTGGAACCCTCTATCCTCCCATTCCATTTTGACTGGTGTTCTCAAGGCCTGCTACACAATCTGTATCCTGGACTTTTCTTTCAACACCATTCTCAGAATTTTCTTTGCCTCTCTTCTCTATTGGATCCTTTATTTCTTGAATCCTATGCTTTTTTTTTTTTCTTTGCTCATTGGTTTCCCTCACTTTGGTGGAGCATATCCTTTAGTAGCTTCTTGAGGATGTATGAGAAATTCCTCCTTTGATTGATAGTTTGGCTAGGTTTAGAAATTATGTATTGTTAGATTTTTAAAGAATATTATTCCATTGTCTTTTAGCTTCCATTCTTACCAGCAGGCTGCTTTTTGTTGTTATTGTTGTTGTTAGAAAGGATTCACACATAGGCAGGGAACTAGACTAGATCACCTGTCAGTTCTTACTCTGAGATTCTATAAGGCACATTCTGGAGACAGCCTCCTCTCCATACCATATCATAGTTAGCTGACTTTCCAGAGAATGATGAAGCTGTAATCAGATGCTGGTCTCCAACACTACTGCACGCCAGGCCAGAGTAATCATTTCTTCTACTGAACTCCTCTAGCACTTACTGACTATAACATCTTGGCAACTAGCTTAGGCTTCCTGTGGTGTTATTTATATTCCTCATGAGCTGTCTACTCAACAACTACACTTGAATAACTAATAGATATTTAGTTGTTCAAAAATCAAATTCCTGATTCTTATTCCCTATCCCTAACCTGCTCCTCCTGTAGTCTCACTCATTTCAGTAAATGACAACTTTATTCTTCCAATTGATAGATCAAAAACCTAAGGTTATTCTTGACTACTCTTTCTTTCAGACCCTTAATCCAATCCATCAACTAAACTTATCAACTCTGCTTTCAAAATGTATCCAGAACCCAGTCACTGCTATCACACTGCTCTGAGCATTCTTCCCCATTTCCTTCAGTATCTCCTAAAATGTAATCTTATCAGAGAGGCCTTCCCTGACCATCCTATATAAAATAGAAAGATTCCACTCTATCTTACCCTGGCCACTGCATTCCCTATTACCCTTACCCTGGTCTATTTTCTCCATAGCACTGATTGCTACCTGATATATATTTACTTTTTATTTTCTGCCTTCTCCCCCGATAAGAATGCAAGTTCCATAAGGGCAGGAACTCTATTTTGGTTCACTATTATAACTTCAATGCCTAGATTATTGCCTAACATGTAACAAGTGTTTGATATTTGTGGATTAATTAATCTGTTCTATCCTTCCTCCTAATCTATAAACTCCCCATAGAAAGAGAAATTTTGCTATCTTCTTTGTGGTCCTAGTACCTAGTAGAGTCCGGAACACAGCAAGTCTTCAAATAATGTTTGCTACATTTGGATGCAATGACTCTGAAAATCTCCAGTTTGTACCAGATCCTGGTGTTATACTGGTATTTCATGCTCCTCTTCTAAGGTGCTAAAGTTCTCTAGTCTAAAACATGTAGCATGATGTGTGTCTTGTGGCATTATGAATGGCTAACCTATAGGGTAACACCTATGGTTGCTCCAACTGACAGAGATTTTGATCAAGTAGATCAGATACTGAGATTACAGGGCTAGTCATTTCATGTTCAGTTGGTTTTGCTGTGTTCCATCATCCTTTCTCTGGCCTTCATTCTTAATTCTAGTGAGTTTTGCTAAAGCATTTGGCTATAAGCATAATCAATCATAGATAGGAAAACAAAACTCTCTATTGCTGGATGATTAGGGCTTTGGTCTAATGGTCAGTAATACTATCACACAGGAAAAACTGTACATTACCCTATGACAGGACTGCTTTCAAAATTAAAAAGTCCTTACCTCAGTGAGAAGAATATTTATGAACCTGGTAGCTAAAACAAAAGAAATTACAAAGGGTAAAACTCCAAGACTGGAGGTCTTTTTCCTCCAGATTCATCAACTTTTTAAAAAATAATAAGTCAAAATATTACTCATCTCTCTGATTTTTGCCTCTTCATCTAATACAGACAAAACAGCACAAGATGAAAGGACAAACAAGATAAGAAAGCCAGACATAAAATTAATTTCCATAGCAGACTTTGTAGCAGCAAACTACGCACAAACAGGAATAGGGCAAAAGCGCTGCCTTGGAGCCAAGAGAACAAGACCACATTTGATTGCCAACAGGAGCTCTTTGCCAATCTAAAAAATTGGCTGGTATCAAATAGTGAATGTTATAAAAACAGCACAGTAAAGGTAGATAATTCAGAAAACTCAGCATTATCATTCGAATATAGGTTGCTAGCATGAGGAAAACAAGCCATCTCACTGGCACAAACCCCAGAGTCAATTAAAACTAATTTGTCCTTTTCCCCTATCTCTCTCTGGTGCCATCCCTTCGCTACTCTTTTCCCCCTTTTATTGAGTTTGTACTATATATCCATTCAATAAATTTTGGTATCCTCAATATTTCACTTCAGTGAGAGAAAATTGAGTCAATATTGGTCTATACTACCAGATACATCCACAAAGTTAAATGAGAGAGCATTTCCAAGGTTATTCTAAGATTGTACTGAGAAGCAACATCAGTTCCTAAAGACCTTAAGCATGCCAGCCAGCTCAACCTAAGACTCATAGCTCTCCTAATCCTATCACAGTCCGCCTGGCTTCTGTGACCTGTTCTAGCTCTTCTGTGCAATTATTTGCACATTAAAGGTGTGAGAACAGTGAGAGAGGGATGTCAACTCTATGGCAATGGGGATGGGGAGGCCCAGAAAGTGTGAACCATGGTTCAGGGTCTCACAGTAAACTGCTGTGTCACATCCATAGCAATAACCTGCTTTCTGAGGATGCTTCCTTCTTCCAGCCCACTGCCTACGTTCTATGTTATCAGCTTCTGGGCAGCTCAACTGAGACAGGATGGGGTCAGAAAAGCAGATGGAATTCTTCCTATACCAGATGAAGTAATATAAGGAATACTAGGAAGAAGGATGGAAAGATAGTTCCTCAGGAATAGGAAACTCCTTGATAGCCCAGGACAACCAAATGTCAATAATATCTTAAATCCAGGACGAAGGGAAGAAAAACATTCCACATTTTACTTATTTTCGTAATAGTGCTCCCATTATTGGTTCCTGCGGCTTCCAAGAACTAGGATTATTGTGGCCTGAAGGTAAGAAGATTTGAACCTGATTTGTAAAATGAATCTAGACTGCTTTAAAGTAAAAGAGAAGAGAGTTATCTTTTTTCTAGGAATACAGTTCTGTCACTCGCCACTGAGCGAGCACAAATCAGATTGATGATCCTGTGATTTGTGCAGTAAAAACATCTTGGAAAAAAACAGAGCAAGACAACTGGATTGACATCCCCTGCACATAAATAACTAAAAATGATTCTCTATTACAATGGGGAAGGGCAAATCTGATATTGGTATCTATGTGTCATTAGGGTTTTTTTTTTTTTTTTTTAAGTGGATTCAGCTCTGTCCTTCATAATCATTCTTGGACTGGAAATGGCAATTTCAGTGAACCAGGTTGACATCCTCCCCTCCTTGCCAAATTAAACTTTCCAAACGCTAAAAAAAAATACTGGAAAAATTATAGTGTACCTACTTCATTTAAAAGACATTTAATTAATGCTTCATAAATTATTGCCCAGATGAATAAAATGATCATAAAATTCATGAAAACAAGTAAACTACAAGAAAACTCCAGATGAAACTGCAAGGCTAAACATAAACTTGGCCCAGCACCACTACAATGATTAAACGATGAAAGACAAACTCAGTTCTTTAAACTAGCAACCCTTAGCCATCCGTCCTCCTCCTATAGCTAAAGGGCAGCATGGTCTTTGAATCCAGACGCCCAGTCCTGGGGTTTCTCCTTCATGTGAAGAACAACCCTGCTAGAAAAAGCCTGAGCCAGCCCCAGCTGTAAACGTTAGCTGGTCAGTGAAATGGAGCAGCCTGACTTCCTCCGTCTCTCCACTCTAAGGGTACTGGGGTGGAGTAGGAGGAGAGATGCGAATGACCAAGAGATGTTTACGGTTCAGGAGACCTTCACGTTCGACCCTTCTCCCCGCGCCGCCTCCTTCCCTCCGTACACCCCGTTCCCCTCTCCCCAACCTCCCTAGGATGGAAAGTCAAAGGAAGATAAGACTAAAATCAAACGGAGAGGTAGATTTTACACAGGGGGAAGATGGATCCAACAAAACTGATCTGGATATAATGACTGCCAAGAAGCCCCCTTCCCACTTCGTCCTCTCCTTTTCACACCCACTAGGAGTCACCTTTGTCTGGGTCATAGGACCGGCCAAGCAGCCTGTGAGGCTGCCTTGGTTGCGAGGCTCAAGCCTCACGCGATCAAATTCGGTACTGCGAATAATGGGAAGGAAAGGCGGCCGGGGGGCAAGAAGGCGGGGCAGTCTCTTCCACTCCAGAGCAAGGAGATACGAAGGGAGGAGGCAGAGCCCAGTGGGGCGCAAGCTAGAAAAGCTACGATAGAATATCCTGAGAGACACTGAGGCAGAGGGCTGCTGGATGGAGAGGAATCTGAAGCAGATCAATAGCGAGACAAAGGGGCCCGGGCGGTGACTCAGTGAAAGCGGCAGTGGGCGGGCCCAGGGGAACAAGCACAGCACGAAGGCGACGGGCCGCCGCGCGCGGGGATCCCGAGGCGGGCGTGGCCGCGAGGCTCACCGTGTCCTTGGACGAGCCCAGCTTCTTCAGGCCGTCCAGGGGCAGCAGGTCGGCGGAGTCCTTGTGGATGAACTGCACAGCCTGCTTCATCCGGCGCTGCTGCCGCAGCGACGCCGCCTCCCGCATGTCCGTCTCCTTGCGGCCGCCCTCGGTGAGGAGCCCTGAGTAAAACATCACTGAGGAGCCCGCGACCCAGCGTCCGCCTTGCTCCCGGCTCCGCGGCCTCCCTCGCCCTCGAGTTCCTCCCAGCGCCGCGAGAGCCGCGCGCCGCGGTTTTTATAGCCGAGCGTGACGTCACGGAGAGCAGCCAGTGCGCGGCGGGGGGCGGAGCCAGAGCAGCGCCCCTGGCCCGCGCGCGGCTCCCAGCGTCAGTGAGCATCTGGGTGTCACCCCGCCTGGGGGGAAGAGCCGGACGGGAGTAGTGGCGCTGGCGGGACTCACCCGAAGCGCGAAGTGTCCACCTCGGTCGCTTTACCCAACCGCCCCCTTCCTGTGGAGGGTGCTCCGCATCCCCTGAACCGGGAGGGGGTGTGGGGCCTAATGCTAGAGCGTCTTCTCCCACCCCAGCCGCCGCCGTCCCCGGGTTCCGCTCACCTGTCCACGTAGTGGCCGACCCTGGGATCACGGACAGCTGGGCCATGTCTCGAGTCCTACTGTCCGCCTGCTGCTCGACTTCGCAAATTGCCACCTCTGCGCTCCCTTCCCGAGCACCTGCGCCCACAGCCCGGGCTCGGGAGGGTGAGCGACACACTCAGGAGTTGGGATCGCTCAGGATTTCTCCAACTTCAGGTCGGTCCCCACCCACCAGGCCACGTGACTGGGGAGGGGGCAGCCCCTGCGGGCGGGCTGGAGCTGGCTTTCCGGGGACCTCCCCTCCTGCTTGGGACCTGGCACCCGCGCTTCCGAGCCCGGGCATCAGGGCTGGATGGAAGCCTGCGGGTCATCCTGGGGCAAAGAGCAGCGAGAGTCCCAGGCCCTGCGCGACTGAACACGAGTGCGAGCCCTACACCTGCTCTTTGGAACACCCCGCAGAGAAGCACGTTTTTTTCAGCCAACACACTAGGGATTACCGTCTCTCCAGCATGTTTCCAGAGGCAGTTGGAACCCGGTTTTCTTATGACTTTTTCATACTCAAGCCATTCTAATGGGGCATCCTGGGTTCTGGCCTCTCTCGAGGTTGTGACTTACTGCAACCACGTTTCCATCGTAGGAACAACTACTACCCTCTCCCAGCTTATCTCACTGGAACAGCCATGAAGAAGAAAGATCTGCTCTCTATAGAGAACTAACAATAAAAGTAACAATAAGGACATTTACCGAGCATTTCATCATGCACCAGGTATTGGAATAAATACTTAAAATGTAGGAGCTCATTGAATCTTGGCAACAGCTCATGAGATAGTATTATTGCTATCCCCATTTTACAGGCAAATACCTGAGACTTCTTAACTGGTCTCCTGAATGTGCCTTGGTTCCATTCCAGTTTCTCGTTTGCTACTGCCAGAGTAATCTTTTCAAACTACAAATATGATCATCTTACCTCCTTGCTTAGAGCACCTCAAAAGTCTTCCTATTGTTTTTAAGCTAAAGATCCACATTCTTGCATGATCTGCCTCCATCTGCTTCTCCACTCTGAGCCTCACCCATGAGCTTTCTTCCAGTTCGCTGGAGGAGCCATTCTCTCTCTTTCCAAATGGTCTACCTTTGATTATCCTGTTCCCTCTAGATGGAATGCCTCTCCCACTCTGTTCAGACAGACTTCAGTTTCATTATTGTTCCTTCCAGACCTCAGCTCCATTACCATTTCTTTAGGAAAGCCTTCTCTGACCTCCCAGAGGGTGAATTCTCCCTAATTATATACTATGCATCTCTCTTAGACATTTTATGTTTTTTGATGGTGGTGGTGTGCTAATTAATTGGTTGATTAATATTTATCTCTTTCACCAATTGTAAACATCATGAAGACTACTGAGTCTTTTTGGGCGGGGTGGCTACCATTGAATCTCTAGCACATAGAAGGTTCTCCATAAATACTGAATATATAAGCATGGCAAGAAGTTAAAGTTTTGCCGAAGTGGTAGAGCTTGGCTTTTAAACCCAGGACTTACTACCCCCAGAACCTGTGCTGGTCCTCCTAGACCTGGAAGGGCTGGGATTGACCTCATGAACTGGCTTTTTTTCCCTCGGTTACTGCCTCCAACACTTGCCCTAGATTCAGAGCTCACAGACTGTTTGTGGGAAAATAAATTTAGAAGGCCAGGAGGCTGTTTACTTGGCTTCAAGTATTCTCCCCCACCCCATACTGCATTAAGGGCAGGGTCTCCTGGAGGGGAAGGCAGGAGGGGGAGTAGGATTGCAGCTCACCTTCCGGTCCCCTGACTCACTTTCAGCAGTGAACAACAGTGGCTGCCCTGGCCCCTTCTGTTACCTGGATCCCTGCCTGGTCACTCCTCTAGGCGCAAGTCGCCCAGGGAACAGTGAAAGACAGCCTTGCCTTGTATCTCTAGGACAGATGCCTCGGAGCTCAGCAAAGCATCAGGACAGGCCCAACAGTGAGGGCCCCTGGGGCTCAAGCTGGGACAGCTACTTTCCTCTGAGAAGAAGCCAGGTAGGCAGATTCTGACTCCCCATTCCTCAGGCAACTTAGCTCAGCCTTGCAGACTTTTTTGCTGAGGACAGCCCAATGGAAGAAAGGGGCTCCTTTGATAGCTGGAGCCCCCCAGGGAACACCAGGAAGCTGAATCTCTCTGTTGAACTGGGATTTGTCCATATCAAGTGTTGCTGAAAAATAGATAGGGCTTTGGCTGGCACTGGGAACCTTTTCGTGAATGCAGAGCTCTTTGCCATTGTAGGATTTGTGTCCTGCAGTTGGATCTGTAGCCACAACACTGGTTGTTGGTTCCCTCATCTGTCAGAGATCTTCCTTAGCCAGACTCATATGAGTTTCTTGAGACTGAAGACTGGCAGCTCCTTTTGTGGAGCATCACCTCTGGGCAGTTTATCCAGTTTACCCAAATGACTTTGAGCAAGTCACTTCCTACCTCTAAGCTTCAGTTTCCATATCTGTAAAATGGGTGCAGTGAGATTACATATAAAATTTGGCTTTGTAAACTCTGGAGAGCTATAAGAGCAGAAAAAATTAATAATTCACCATATAGCCAACTTCTCCTGCCCCACGGACCCATCTTGGAAGAAATATAATATAGTTAAAAGCACAAGTTTTAGATTCCAATACACTAGGTTGAATCCCTGCTCTGCCACTTACCAGCTATTGATTAGTAAATTACTCCATCATTGCGAGTTTTGGTTCTTCATCTAGAAAATGGTGCCAGTAACATATTTACCTCTCTGGGCTTCTGTGAGGAATAAAGGAAATAATACCCATGGCACATCATGGCACATAATAAAGGCTCAGCAGAAAGTAGCTAGCATTATTACCTGGAACAGCTTCAGAAAACCCGTAGATTGCCGAGCCTCAGAGTGGGCCTTGGTCTATGCTTCCTCCAAGCCTCCCTACATTTCAGACTTGAGTATATTTTATCCCTCACCTCTTGCCCCTTGGAGCCAAGGCCTCCTGAGGCAGGGGCTAGCCAGCATTGTTCTACTCCCTGGTGCCTATAAATTTGGAGTTTACCATGTCGGGTGGCTCTGTTCTAAAGTTCTCTACATCCTTCTTTGGTTGCTGTAGAGGATCTGTCCTTGAAAATTGTACCAGACAAGCTGAGGCTGTTTCAGTTAGGATTTTATTCATGTTGTTCTTATTATAAGTGACATAAGCCCAATTGACTTAAGCCAAAATGCAAACTTTTTGGTGTCCTTAATTAAAAAATGAAGGGGTTTCAGGCATGGCTGGATAGAAGGGCTCAAATGACATTTTCACTGTTTCAGCTCTGAGCTGATGCCACAGTAGGCAGGCTCTTTTTGTCTCATGGCTGCCAGCAGCTCCCAGGTTACAATCTATTCTCCCAGCAACTCTCCTTTGAGTCTTCAGCTAACAGGGCAGCCTTTGAGAATGGGACACAGGATGCGTGCCAGAGCTGGGAGGCCAGAAAAGTAGATGAGAAGAGCAGAGGAGAAAGGGGAGATGGTCAAGGAGTTTTAATCCCTGTTCCCTTCCCACTCATGAATATTTTGCTGTGACTTTTCTCTTGGTCACACACCCAGAAAGTGAAGACCACTGCCCAGATCCCCTTTACTTACCGTCTCCATCTTTGTAGCTGCACAGTCTCTTCCTCCTCTGGTGCCCTCACCACCCCCACCAACTCCCTCTGGCAGGATGATTCTTCTAACAGCTGTCTGCTGCAGGTACCATATGTGTGCCAGGATCTCTGGCTACATGGATGCCCACGACTTGGCACCCAGCCCTGAAAACTGTGTCGACTTTGGCAGGTTAAAGCAAAGACAAGAGATATTTCTGTCTTCCGAGTGATTCCCAACATCACCATAGCCTCATAACATGGGGCTGATGGCAGCCCCGCTTGTGTTTTCCAAAGTTGGCTGGATCTTTTGGATCCATTCCTGTTAGTAATCATTTTATTTCACTTGGTGAGATGAAGACAGGCTCTGACCTCAAATCAGACAGCAAAGAGGAGAGAAAGAAGGAGAAAAATCTCAGTATCTGAAGCAAGAATGTCTGGTGGAAACAGGAGAGTCTAGGCTTGGCTTTGAATCCTGGCTCTCCCCTTGCTTGCTGTGAGGCCTTGGCTAGGTTACTGCAGCTCTTCGAGCCTCAGTTTACCCATATGGCAGGACTCTGTGTGGTTTAAATAAGATAACATGTAAAGCACAGGGCCCATTACAAAGTGAGCCCTCAATAAATGAGTCCTTTTCCTCTTTCCTTCCCCTCTCCAAGGTATGTAGAGAACCTAGAGACAGACCAGCCCTCCAGAGGCCAGTGGAGAGCCCTTCCCTCAGGAAACAGACCTCCAAAGCTGCCAAACTTCTCAGAATGTTTTGCAACCCTGATTACTGTCTCCCTGGAGTCAGAAGCTGGACTTTGCCATGCTGGAAACATCAAACTTCAGATCAGCATTCCTGGAGAATGTGTGGTTCTGGGCTCAGCAAGATATACTACCATCTTCACACATCAGGGGCTGAGGGCTGGAAATAAGGAAAGATGAAGGATTGACAGGTTTTTGCATGTGTGTGTGCGTGCACGTGTGCGCGCGTGCTGTTTCTGACCTAAGAGAGACAGTTTTAGGAGACTGGAAAAGTGCATTTCATATTTCCAGAGCAGGAAGATAGGGCTTTTCAGAAGGTCTTGCGTGAGAACC